CAATTTCAACTTTGGATGGTGAGATCCTGGATTCCTACTTTTTTAATGCCATTTTCCTTTTAAAGCTTGCTTTCAAACAGCTCCAAGAATGAACTTTGGATGGGTAGATGTGGAGGAAGGGGCAGGGAACACCACAAATACATGCTCAACTCCAAGCATCCTTTAAAAATTCAGTCTTTTCATGGTTCTAGAGGATATTCTATCTATAGTTTTGCCCAACTGTCCTAGCACAGCACTAGCAAAAATGAACTTTGGATGGTCGATCTTGGATTCCTACTTTTCTATACTTTTCTCATCTCCTTTTCCTTTCGCAGCTTTCTTTTCAAAAACCTGCAAGACTGAACTTTGAATGGTAAGATCGTGGATTCCTTCTTTTCTCATCCCATTTTCCTTTTGTGGTTTCTTTTCAAAAACCTGCAATTTCAACTTTGGATGGTAAGATCTTGGATTCCTACTTTTTTAATGCCATTTTCCTTTTAAAGTTTGCTTTCAAACAGCTCCAAGAATGAACTTTGGATGGGTAGATGTGGAGGAAGGGGCAGGGAGCACCACAAATACATGCTTAATCTTAATCCCAGACATCCTTAAACAATTCAGTCTTTTCATGGTTCTAGAGGATATTCTATCTATAGTTTTGCCCAACTGTCCTAGCACAGTACTAGCACAAATGAACTTTGGATGGTCGATCTTGGATTCCTACTTTCTATATTTTTCTCATCTCCTTTTCCTTTCACAGCTTTCTATTCAAAAACCTGCAAGACTGAACTTTGAATGGTAAGATCGTGGATTCCTTCTTTTCTCATCCCATTTTCTTTTTGTTGTTTCTTTTCAAAAACCTGCAATTTCAACTTTGGATGGTAAGATCTTGGATTCCTACTTTTTAGATGCCATTTTCCTAAAGCTTGCTTTCAAACAGCTCCAAGAATGAACTTTGGATGGGTAGATGTGGAGGAAGGGGCAGGGAGCACCACAAATACATGCTTAATCCCAAACATCCTTTAAAAAATCCAGTCTTTTCATGGTTCTAGAGGATATTCTATCTATAGTTTTGCCCAACTGTCCTAGCACAGTACTAGCACAAATGAACTTTGGATGGTCGATCTTGGATTCCTACTTTTCTGTACTTTTCTCATCTCCTTTTCCTTTCACGGCTTTCTATTCAAAAACCTGCAAGACTGAACTTTGAATGGTAAGATCGTGGATTTCTTCTTTTCTCATCCCATTTTCCTTTTGTTGCTTCTTTTCAAAAACCTGCAATTTCAACTTTGGATGGTAAGATCCTGGATTCCTACTTTTTTAATGCCATTTTCCTTTTAAAGTTGCTTTCAAACAGCTCCAAGAATGAACTTTGGATGGGTAGATGTGGAGGAAGGGGCAGGGAACACCACAAATACATGCTCAACTCCAAGCATCCTTTAAAAATTCAGTCTTTTCATGGTTCTAGAGGATATTCTATCTATAGTTTTGCCCAACTGTCCTAGCACAGCACTAGCAAAAATGAACTTTGGATGGTCGATCTTGGGTTCCTACTTTTCTATACTTTTCTCGTCTCCTTTTCTTTTCACAGCTTTCTATTCAAAAACCTGCAAGACTGAACTTTGAATGGTAAGATCGTGGATTATTTCTTTTCTCATCCCATTTTCCTTTTGTGGTTTCTTTTCAAAACCTGCAATTTCAACTTTGGATGGTAAGATCTTGGATTCCTACTTTTTTAATGCCATTTTCCTTTTAAAGTGTGCTTTCAAACAGCTCCAAGAATGAACTTTGGATGGGTAGATGTGGAGGAAGGGGCAGGGAACACCACAAATACATGCTCAACTCCAAGCATCCTTTAAAAATTCAGTATTTTCATGGTTCTAGAGGATATTCTATCTATAGTTTTGCCCAACTGTCCTAGCACAGCACTAGCAAAAATGAACTTTGGATGGTCGATCTTGGATTCCTACTTTTCTATACTTTTCTCATCTCCTTTTCCTTTCACAGCTTTCTATTCAAAAACCTGCAAGACTGAACTTTAAATGGTAAGATCGTGGATTCCTTCTTTTCTCATCCCATTTTCCTTTTGTGGTTTCTTTTCAAAAACCTGCAATTTCAACTTTGGATGGTGAGATCTCGGATTCCTATTTTTTTAATGCCATTTTCCTTTTAAAGCTTGCTTTCAAACAGCTCCAAGAATGAACTTTGGATGGGTAGATGTGGAGGAAGGGGCAGGGAGCACCACAATACATGCTTAATCCCAAACATCCTTAAAAAAATCAGTCTTTTCATGGTTCTAGAGGATATTCTATCTATAGTTTTGCCCAACTGTCCTAGCACAGTACTAGCACAAATGAACTTTGGATGGTCGATCTTGGATTCCTACTTTTCTGTACTTTTCTCATCTCCTTTTCCTTTCGCAGCTTTCTATTCAAAAACCTGCAAGATTGAACTTTGAATGGTAAGATCGTGGATTATTTCTTTTCTCATCCCATTTTCCTTTTGTGGTTTCTTTTCAAAAACCTGCAATTTCAACTTTGGATGGTAAGATCTTGGATTCCTACTTTTTAATGCCATTTTCCTTTTAAAGCTTGCTTTCAAACAGCTCCAAGAATGAACTTTGGATGGGTAGATGTGGAGGAAGGGGCAGGGAACACCACAAATACATGCTCAACTCCAAGCATCCTTTAAACATTCAGTCTTTTCATGGTTCTAGAGGATATTCTATCTATAGTTTTGCCCAACTGTCCTAGCACAGTACTAGCACAAAATGAACTTTGGATGGTCGATCTTGGATTCCTACTTTTCTATACTTTTCTCATCTCCTTTTCCTTTCACGGCTTTCTATTCAAAAGCCTGCAAGACTGAACTTTGAATGGTAAGATCGTGGATTCCTTCTTTTCTCATCCCATTTTCTTTTTGTTGCTTCTTTTCAAAAACCTGCAATTTCAACTTTGGATGGTAAGATCTTGGATTCCTACTTTTTTAATGCCATTTTCCTTTTAAAGTTTTCTTTCAAACAGCTCCAAGAATGAACTTTGGATGGGTAGATGTGGAGGAAGGGGCAGGGAGCACCACAAATACATGCTTAATCCCAAACATCCTTAAAAAATTCAGTCTTTTCATGGTTCTAGAGGATATTCTATCTATAGTTTTGCCCAACTGTCCTAGCACAGCACTAGCAAAAATGAACTTTGGATGGTCGATCTTGGATTCCTCCTTTCTATACTTTTCTCATCTCCTTTTCCTTTCACAGCTTTCTATTCAAAAACCTGCAAGACTGATCTTTAAATGGTAAGATCGTGGATTCCTTCTTTTCTCATCCCATTTTCCTTTTGTGGTTTCTTTTCAAAACCTGCAATTTCAACTTTGGATGGTAAGATCTTGGATTCCTACTTTTTAGATGCCATTTTCCTTTTAAAGTTTGCTTTCAAACAACTCCAAGAATGAACTTTGGATGGGTAGATGTGGAGGAAGGGGCAGGGAGCACCACAAATACATGCTTAATCCCAAACATCCTTAAAAAAATCCGTCTTTTCATGGTTCTAGAGGATATTCTATCTATAGTTTTGCCCAACTGTCCTAGCACAGTACTAGCACAAATGAACTTTGGATGGTCGATCTTGGATTCCTACTTTCTGTATTTTTCTCATCTCCTTTTCCTTTCACGGCTTTCTATTCAAAAACCTGCAAGACTGAACTTTGAATGGTAAGATCGTGGATTCCTTCTTTTCTCATCCCATTTTCTTTTTGTTGTTTCTTTTCAAAAACCTGCAATGTCAACTTTGGATGGTAAGATCTTGGATTCCTACTTTTTAGATGCCATTTTCCTTTTAAAGCTTGCTTTCAAACAGCTCCAAGAATGAACTTTGGATGGGTAGATGTGGAGGAAGGGGCAGGGAACACCACAAATACATGCTCAACCCCAAGCATCCTTTAAAAATTCAGTCTTTTCATGGTTCTAGAGGATATTCTATCTATAGTTTTGCCCAACTGTCCTAGCACAGCACTAGCAAAAATGAACTTTGGATGGTCGATCTTGGATTCCTACTTTTCTATACTTTTCTCATCTCCTTTTCCTTTCGCAGCTTTCTTTTCAAAAACCTGCAAGATTGAACTTTGAATGGTAAGATCGTGGATTATTTCTTTTCTCATCCCATTTTCCTTTTGTTGCTTCTTTTCAAAAACCTGCAATTTCAACTTTGGATGGTGAGATCTCGGATTCCTTTTTTTTTAATGCCATTTTCCTTTTAAAGCTTGCTTTCAAACAGCTCCAAGAATGAACTTTGGATGGGTAGATGTGGAGGAAGGGGCAGGGAACACCACAAATACATGCTCAACTCCAAGCATCCTTTAAAAATTCAGTATTTTCATGGTTCTAGAGGATATTCTATCTATAGTTTTGCCCAACTGTCCTAGCACAGCACTAGCACAAATGAACTTTGGATGGTCGATCTTGGATTCCTACTTTTCTATACTTTTCTATACTTTTCTCATCCCCTTTTCCTTTCACAGCTTTCTATTCAAAAACCTGCAAGACTGAACTTTAAATGGTAAGATCGTGGATTCCTTCTTTTCTCATCCCATTTTCCTTTTGTGGTTTCTTTTCAAAAACCTGCAATTTCAACTTGGGATGGTGAGATCTCGGATTCCTATTTTTTAATGCCATTTTCCTTTTAAAGCTTGCTTTCAAACAGCTCCAAGAATGAACTTTGGATGGGTAGATGTGGAGGAAGGGGCGGGGAACACCACAAATACATGCTTAATCCCAAACATCCTTTAAAAAATTCAGTCTTTTCATGGTTCTAGAGGATATTCTATCTATAGTTTTGCCCAACTGTCCTAGCACAGCACTAGCACAAATGAACTTTGGATGGTCGATCTTGGATTCCTACTTTTCTATACTTTTCTCATCTCCTTTTCCTTTCGCAGCTTTCTTTTCAAAAACCTGCAAGATTGAACTTTGAATGGTAAGATCGTGGATTATTTCTTTTCTCATCCCATTTTCCTTTTGTGGTTTCTTTTCAAAAACCTGCAATTTCAACTTTGGATGGTAAGATCTTGGATTCCTACTTTTTTAATGCCATTTTCCTTTTAAAGTGTGCTTTCAAACAGCTCCAAGAATGAACTTTGGATGGGTAGATGTGGAGGAAGGGGCAGGGAACACCACAAATACATGCTCAACTCCAAGCATCCTTTAAAATTTCAGTCTTTTCATGGTTCTAGAGGATATTCTATCTATAGTTTTGCCCAACTGTCCTAGCACAGCACTAGCACAAATGAACTTTGGATGGAACTTTGGATGCTCGATCTTGGATTCCTACTTTTCTATACTTTTCTCATCTCCTTTTCCTTTCGCAGCTTTCTTTTCAAAAACCTGCAAGACTGAACTTTGAATGGTAAGATCGTGGATTCCTTCTTTTCTCATCCCATTTTCCTTTTGTGGTTTCTTTTCAATACCTGCAATTTCAACTTTGGATGGTGAGATCTCGGATTCCTATTTTTTTAATGCCATTTTCCTTTTAAAGCTTGCTTTCAAACAGCTCCAAGAATGAACTTTGGATGGGTAGATGTGGAGGAAGGGGCAGGGAGCACCACAAATACATGCTTCATTCCAAGCATCCTTTAAAAATTCAGTCTTTTCATGGATCTAGAGGATATTCGATCTAGAGTTTGACTATCCAACCATACATATTATATTTACATATTTTATATCATTCACATATAAAGCATAGGTTTCAATCATAGTAAACACCATACATATTATATCTACATATTTGATATCATTCACATACAAAGCATATATTTCACACAGAGTGCACCTTACACACTATAGTAGCACACTCGGTCGCTTTCCGGGGCGTCCCCCACATAGGGGGGTGATGACGGGATTCTGGAATCCCGTCACGTTTTTTGGCTATGCTCCCTTTACGGGGGAGCCGAGTTGTCAGCCCCTGGCAAGATCTATAGTTAGAATATCCCTGAAAAGGTCCCGGTTGGAAAAACAATCACATGTTGTCAAAGACAATTTTCTAAATTGGATTATACCCAGTGGTATTTAACAACATGTGCTATATCAATATATTATCCAAAGTGGTATTATAATTTATGGATTCTGAAAATACCTTTTGGGCTGTATTCAAAACCACTGTTGGTTCATGATCATGTATATAGAGTTTGACTATCCAACAGTTTATATCTACGTTTGAATTCAAAATCTCCAGGAGGTCCGGTGAGCACACCAACTCAATTACAAAATTGCACATCTTCAATTATCAATTATCAATTTTGTAGGGGTGATCATTTTACCCACACCCATTCCTTTATTGGGTTTGACTATTTGGGCATCCCGGGAACCAAAAATACCATTGCCAAAGAATCTACAACACATGGAATGGTTTTTGGAAACCTGCCGTTGTTAGCAGAATGCAGTAGGGAGGGGTCAGCACAGTGGTTGATACCATAGATAGAATATGAAAGAATATAGAAGAATATGGGGATGGATCAAAACCTTCTGTCCCAATTACACCCAATTCTATACAGATTACTTTTTAAAGTAGCTGGTTTTGATCGATGTCCAAATTCAAAATCTCCAGGAGGTCCGGTGAGCACACCAACTCAATTACAAAATTGCACATCTTAAATAATCAACTATCAATTTTGTAGGGATGATATTTGGACTCACACCCATTCCTTTATTGGGTTTGACTATTTGGGCATCCCGGGAACCAAAAATACCATTGCCAAAGAATCTACAACACATGGAATGGTTTTTGGAAACCTGCCGTTGTTAGCAGAATGCAGTAGGGAGGGGTCAGCACAGTGGTTGCTACCATAGATAGAATATGAAGGAATATAGAAGAATATGGGGATGGATCAAAACCTTCTGTCCCAATTACACCCAATTCTATACAGATTACTTTTTAAAGTATCCGATTTTGATCGATGTCCAAATTCAAAATCTCCAGGAGGTCCGGTGAGCACACTGTAGCTAAATGGGTACGGGTCAAATTTGGGCCCAGCTCAATTTCAAAATTTCACATCTTAAAAAATCTATCAATTTTGGGGTGTGACAATTTGACCCACACCCATTCCTTTCTTGGATTTGACTATTGAATACCATTGCCAAAGGATCTATATTTCTGGGAACCACCAGCAACAGTGACAATTTCTTTGGAAGATTTTGGGCTGAAATTCGCATGCCAGAACCTAATACACCAGCATAATGACAACATTTGGTGGTCATTCCAAAGGCCCAAACAACCAAATCACAAGCTAAATGACCGCTTTTGTAATCATTTTAGAGGGACCGTTTTTTTTTACCAATCATCGACCCGGATTTTTGAGCCATTTTGGGATTCTATCTATAGGTTTTTTTTGGACCGTTTTTTTTTTTGAAATTCCAGAGATTCTATCTACTCCAGGATGACTATATATATATACATATAAACATCAATATCTCTATTATGGGCTTATAGTATGGGTAGGACGGGGGCGCTGCCGGGGGAAGTGCGTTTTGACCCTGCAGGGCCAGTGTTTTATACATTTTGGGATGTCGGTGGCCGAATGGCTGACGAGATTTGTTTCCAAGACACACAAAATCCCAAACCCCTAAACCTAAATCTGACATGAAACCCGCAGTAAGCCTTGAAAGTAAAATCTCATAAAATGTAAAAACTGTGGTAAAAAAACTTAGACACCTTAAATGAAACCCTAGATAAACCCTAAACAAACCCTAAACAACCACCAAACAAACACCAAAGAGTTCGTGTCATGATAAACCTCTGGGCGGCACGACCTGGGGGTAACTATACATATATAACATCAATATATCTATTGCGTGGTTCGTAAATTTCTATTATTATTGGTGGTTGGTTGGTATGCCCTAAACCCAAACCCAAACCCATCATCAGGATCGTCAAGCATAATCATGGCAACTGGGGCCAACGTCCCATGTCCCACACACGTCCACAAGTCTCATTTTCGGGATACAGCAAGATTTCTCTACTGTGATGGGATGCATGGTGCTGAAGCAAAAGCACAAGTGTTGATCATCGGTGATGAGAGCCAGTGAGAAGACAGTCCCATTCCCCTTTGACTCTCGGCTACATTCTCCAGTGTCAAATGGTGGTAATATCAACTTAGCATCTCAATGTGTGTTTGCTACTATCCAAATCTTTGTAGACAATTCGGAACTCCCCTGTTAGTTAACCATGAGCCATGGCTCTTTTGCCAATGAACTCCTGATCATTGTTTGATTCCTTCTCCTTCTAGATTCTAGATGATTGAATTCCATGTGCGGTAAATTGTCCCGGCTCAGATAGTTTATGGTTTTTATGGTTGGTCTGGAGGAGATAAAGTATCCAACATGTATAATATAATCATATTGCATACTACATATACACACCATCTATACACGCTTATAAATTGTCAGCTGTTTATGCTCATCCCTTTCCCTCACAACACCCTTGGTGACTTAAACAAATCGGACCATCCCAAAAGCTGGAATCAAATCTCAACAAACAAAATAGCTACTAACAGATCAGTTTTCTTGGTTTTCCACTAAACATTGTTTGGGCTCTCATCCCCAAAAAGATAGAAACGTTACCTCCCCTTCTGCCGCTGTGGCCAAAGGACGCGGTGAGCTGTTTTTCGTCCTCCCAAGTCCTGCTAAAAAAGTGGGAAAATCAGCAGATTTTTGCTGGGTGAAATCACATCCAAACGGGATTCCCCTATCGGTGATATTGGGATTATATGGAATAATGGATGGGATCATAGATGGGATAATGGATGGTTATATGGGATCTGGTTGGTGGTTGAAAACCCCCTCTGAAAAATATGACGAATCGACAGTTCCATTCATCACTGGCAACTCATCCAATCCTTGATGGCCCAAGGACTATGTGGATCTGAAATGTGTCTGAAAATGGTGAATCATGGCCACCATACCTCAAAACATATGGCCATGATTGGCTGCAAAGATGATCATCTGACCAGATGATCCACAACAAACCAGGTTTAACCAGGTAATCAATCACTGGTGCTTTGTCTGAAAATAGGACAAAGCACCAAAAACCATTGGTCAATGATCATTTTCCCCATTCAATCCCATATGCTCCATGGTGCTGGTATATTTACCTACAAAACTGGGTGATTTGTAGGGTAAATCTTGGAAAATATTCCAGCACCATGGATCCCCATTCAATGACTAGTCTGACTGCGAAAAAACCTCATTGTCCACATGGAAAAATCGGGGAAAAATGGGAGGATTCGATGATATCGGGGAAAAATGGGAGGATTCGGCGATTTCATCATCGAATTTTCTGGCTTCGTTTCGAGCCGCGTTTTTGATATGAGGATTAGTACCACCTGGTTATGACTAACAGTTTGCCATGGAAAGATCCACCATTTTAAGAACGGTAAACCATCTGTAAATGGGCCATCTATACCATGGCTATGTTAAATAACCAGAGGGTAATTGGAATGATAAGCAACATAGCCAGCAATGATGTTTCTTGGATAGCAAATTCTCCCCAAATTATTGGAATTAAAAAAAAGCCAATTGATCATTGGAATGATGTGACACTGATAAAATAACAGTAAGTAATCATATCTGGGAACATTATAATACTTCACTGATCCGGGATATAAGCTATTTTGGGATAGTTACCCCAAGCGCAACCATCAGTATAGGCTTCGGGAGAACAGTGAGGTCGTTATAATTTGTCCAGATCTATGTACTATGTAGTACCATCCTGATGGTTTAAGTATATTAATGTACTATATAATTTGTAGTATATATGTTATCTATCATTTTTAATGTATATATATATGTATATTTGTAGTATATATATATATATGTATATCAATGTACTATATATATATATCTTAATGTACATTATATTAAACATCAGCCAACAACGGCAGACATAGACCCCATCGGCACCTCACCGTCTCTTTGACGAATCCTGGGAGGAAAATTTCAGGACGGTCCACCATTTTTGGGTGATCTGCAATACCCATAGGATCCATGTATGCTATATATGGTAACATGTACCATCAATATACCCCAAATGTTAGCATATATACCATACATGGACCCTATGGGATAGTATATCAATATGATCTTCAATGATCAAGGTATTTTGGGAATGTTGCACCTCTGAATTGAAAAAAACATGGCTGCCATTTTTTTCCGCAGCGAAAGATTTGCGGAGGTGTTTATTGAAACACAGGTCATATGACTTGTGTGACTTGTGCAGGGAAGACAAGACAAATATAATCCTGTAGGGTATACGCCAATTTCATGAACGATCACGGATAAGGATTGAAATGTGGATGCACCAGTGTCAGATACCCATCCCAAAGGCTTCACCCGGCCCGTGGGGGCCCGAAACCTCCCAACTAGCCGCCTGCCGATCATTCGGACGGAAAACCATGTGTAAACCACATCTATGTAAACGTTTACACCAGGGTATCTCATATGGAGGCTTCCTAAGTCATGGGGGTACCCCAAAATCATCCAAGTCATTAGAGCATGACTTAGTATTGAATCCCATGGTTTTGGGGATCCCCCATGTCAAGAAAGCCTCATATGTACACTGGTTGGTGGTATACCTACCCCTCTGAAAAATATGAGTTCGTCAATGGGAAGGATGACATCCCATATATGAAATGGACAATAAAAAATGTTAACCACCAACCAGGTACATGGCTTCTAACTGGAGGTACTCCGGCTGCAACCCGTTTTTGGTGATCCGACCATCGGCCAAGCATCTCCGTTGCGTTTCTTCGCCCACGGAGGATTTCAAGTCCTGCGACGCCCCAAAGACAATAGAAAAGCGTCAATTCTTCACTATTGTTCAGAGATTTTAACAAATTCTATCTTAACTTAGGAAGTTGCTACAAATGAGAACAAAAAACCCATGATAACATGGATTCTTAATCATCTACTAGGTCTGGGATGCGTCCATGACAGGGAATTGGTCCTTGCCAAGAAGCCAAGAACATGTACTGGTCCAATTGAAGTCATAGGTAAAGAACCTGTGAAGTTGTCAGTTGCTTATGTAGGCAACCCAGAATTTATGGGACCCAAAGAAATCTCCCATCTGATGGTCTAGTTTGGTCAAGAGAACTCCCCCATGGACTTGGGGTACCCATTTGTCTAACATTGAAAGAGGAAAACACAATGTTCTCAGTTGCTCACTCAACATTCTTTGGTGCTGTCTTTGTGTTTGTTGCTACCGGTCCCGCTTTGACTAGTTCTGAATATCCGTGATGCTGGCTGATGGTATCCCATGATCATTTGTTTTTTTCCTAAAATCATTGGCCAATATCTGACTAGATTGCCAAAGGGGTCCTCCCAATTTTGCTGGTAAAATTCATCTTTAATAAATCTATCAAAGACATTTGGTTAATCCCCCCATATTTCATCACAAAATCTTCTATAATCATCTGTCCTCGCTCTTGAATCGAGTAATCATCCATAATCATCCATAATCATCCATAATCAGCCACAATCATCAGAATCATCCATAATCATCCATAATCATCCAATAAGTCATGCATAAATCTTGAACAAATCCTATCTTCAATCTTCAGCTATTTTTTTGAAGATAGACTCTCATGGTTTATCCCCCCATTTATCATGTCCTCAAACAACAAAAACCCATCCTGCGCGAGGCGTTTCACCAAATGGGCGTGCTCCTAGGATCACGCGGGGTTTCCCGGGGAGTTTTCCCCATGGGGCGCCGGAGACTTAATGTCATGATCGTGAGCCAAAAGAAATTGCGGATATAACATTAGATTATTACATTAATTAGGATCATAGATCTAATTACTAACTACTAGTCAGGATCATTTAGATATAAGATCTAATATTATCATGGCCGTTTCCAACTACAAGCTTGAAAACAATGATTAATTAAACATGTGAAACAAATGTGAAAACAATGTGAAAATATGTGAACAAAATGCGAAACATGTGAAACATATATTTGGAACATGCATTTTAAAAAATGTGAAAAATGCATTTCAACAATGTGAAGACATGTGAAAAATGTGAAAAAAGTCTGAACAAATGTGGAAACATGTTGAAAAACAGGAAATTACATGTTTTAATACTTTTCCTATTTTGAACCAACAATAGTTTACGTTCATTGTGAACCTATTGACATGAATCATTGAATATGAATATATGCTTATGTGGAATCCTAATGTTTAAGTTTAATATTCTAAAATTTAAAACGGAACATGAAAAAAGAACCTATATCTGGAAAAAACGGAACAATGGAGCTAAGAAACAGGAACTTTTCAACTGCCTTTTGTTACCATTTTTCACATGTTTCCCATGTTATTCACATTTTTTCACATGTTTAAAACGCATGTTTTTCACATTTTTCTCCAAGCGCATTTCTAAACCACTTTTTTTCGCATGTTTTTTCACATTTTTCACAATCATGTGAAGAAATGTGAAAAAAGAAAAGACATTTTGAACATGCGCTTGGAAACAATGAAAAATGCGTTTTGAAAATGCACTTGGAAAAACGTGAAAAAATGCGAAAAAAAACATTTGAACATCCAGTTGGGAAGGTGGAGCTTTGATTTTTTGGGGTCGAGTTTTGCTGCAGTTACTTTGCTGCCTGCCCAACTTCTGCAGGTTGAAAATCCCAGGGGAGCAGTTCAAATCAATCGGAAGTGGACTGTGTAGATCGCAGACCTGTTTATATAATATATCATATCTATAGCAAAGCAATGACTGCCAGGAGCAAAAACATAAAATCAAATGCAGAAGGAAAAGAGAACAAAGCTTCAAATTGCTTAAACAAATACATTTTTTCACATGTCAAAAATAATGCATGTTTAAAACACAGTTTTTTCACATGTGTTTCGCATTTTTAGTTTTCAAACTACCTACCAACCCTTCGAAGTAGCTCAGTTGGCCTTGATGAATCTAATAATTGTAGAAATCATTAGATCTTAAACATGATTACCCTCTGGTAATTTAACAGTTTGCTATTGAAAATGGCCATAGAAATAGTTGATCTACCCATTTATAGCATGGTGATTGTCCATAGCTATGTTAGTTTACCAGAGGGTAGGATCTTTTCTAAACCAGAAGCGGCCATAGACAATCTCCCTGGGATTTTGAAGATCCTGTTCCTGATTTTTTTCGTGTTCTCTTACAGTGAAGAACCGGCACCTCAACTCGAACACGCTTGGGGGAGTGGCCAACCAACCATGAAAAAAGCTGGTGCGAATTCAGTAGACGTGCTTGAGCATCACTGAAATATGCAATCTTTGCTGCTGAAACACAACAACGAATAGTTCTTTACCATGCCTGCTCTCAGATATCCTGTAAACCTATCTTGAGCTCTTTAGCATATAGTACCCCCCCAGAAAGCTAGAAGAGGTTCAATTTAGGTGCGACTTAAAAAAAGAACCCCAGTAGATCGCCAAGGTCCTTGGGAGTGCGACGCCCGTGTACCTGCACCTGGCACAAAACCACATGGCGCAGAGAAAACATCGATAGATTACTCAGCAAAAAGGTTGATTCGCTGAAATGCAGGTTTCCTAAAATAGGTTGTACATACTGTGGTTAGAATCCCATCTAAATCCCATCTAAATCCCATTGACTGTAGATATATGAGTGATATATGGAGGTTTCCGTTTCGTCATGGGGCCCTTAGTCATACCCAAGTCACGGATGACCATGACTTGGTATTGAAATGCATGGTGACTGGGAGATCCCCCTATTCTTGGAGAGCTCCAGGTGATGTTTCTATCATGTTTCTCTAGTTTCCCCTTGAAGAATTTGTGATTTTCGACTGCCCGGTTTGCTTGCTTGCTGGCAAAATGTCTTTCTTTTGTCCAACAAAACACGGTGATAGAATGAATGAGAATGCGGCTAACCGTTGTTTGATTCCCGAGCGTCGTACCTTGTAGGCAAATAAGATCAAATAAGGCTGTATTTTCTTCAGTTATGAACCACGACCAACACCTTCAAAAGGTTCTGACTTGAAATCTTGGGCGGGTCCCTTGAAACCAAGATACGGCTTGCTTTAGCCCAGATGGCTCCGTCATGATTCCAGTTCCTAGCCCGACAGTGACCTATTGCTTGCGTATATGTAAAAACAGACAGATAGATAGACTAATATGGCTACAAATAGCTCGACGATTACAGTACCCATATACATTGCATTACATTACATTACATTTACATTGCATTGCAGTACGCTACGGTACATAACAGACTTTACTCAACACAACACAACATTACCCAACATAACGCAGGACAAGACATGACAACGTTAAAGTACACTACCTTGCATTACATTCCAATTACACACACATATTGCACAACACAACCTGCAAAATTGCAATACTTTGCATTGCCTATTACATTGCATGGCATTGCATAGATATATGGCGTCAAGTATTGCATTAATATATGGCATTACTATATATGGCATTGCATATATATATAATTATATATATACCCTCTGGTAATTTAACATAGCTATGGAACATCACCATTCTTAATGGGAACATCAACTATAAATGCCAATGTTCAATAGCTTTTTGTATGTTTAACAGAGGGTGTGTGTATATATATATACCCCCAAAAACCTAACATGGGGATGGGTCAAGTCACCTTGTACCCCTGTTCAAAATCGCTGGGAGTGGGCTGGATGTTTCTCCCGCCTCCTTAGGAGGTTCCACCTTGGGCGGTTCCATCTTGCCCGCACGAGCCCTGCGCATACGAACGCCAGGGGACAGAACAAATGAACGGATTTAACCATCGAAAATGAGGTTTCATGGGATTTAAGCATTAAAAAATGATGTTTTGATGGGAATTCACCAACAAACATGGTCATTTAATGGAGTGAAAGCAATAAACATGGTGTTTGTAACCCAAAAAACGGGGATTCAAACAGAATAATATTGAAGCAGCAACCATAGGAGATATCAATGAATAATTGACTATAAATTTAAGGACACGTGGCTTCTTTTTTGAACACGTAGGGAAGATCTTTTCGATTGCTGATCTTCATTTTCCCCAACAACATTGCCCAAACATCGGGTCAATCCCCGATTAAAAAAAAATCAAGTGGAAAGCGTGGTACGTGGGAAACACACGGGCGTCCATACATTGCACTAGGTTGAACATAGTATGTTTCCGCCATGTGAACAGCAATAAAAAAAAAGGCGGCATGTAGAACTGATTTGAACATAGTTTTCGCTGTATGTGTATGAACTTTTGTGTAATCACTCTGGTTAAACTGGGAAAATTCAGAGGAGAATCTCAGTTTGGGTCAACTGAGGTTCGTTTTTCCCGAGGTGCTGGAGTCATGACTCCCCGAATCGATCCTCCCTAGGAGGGCACTGCTTCACTAAGTCAAAGCAAGATTCAGACTGGTTTTTCATGGAACACCCACGGTTTTTAGACCATATAGACCATGGTGTTTACCCTGGAGGATTTTGGTGGGATGAAGATCACATGTTACTTGGGGGATTTACCATACGTTACATCTTTAGACCATGCTAAACTTCAACAGCCTGGTGACATTTTTCGATCACAACGGCGATGTCTACCTCCGGTGACTTCACCAAGCATTGGGTGAAAGACAAGGATTTTACCCAATACAGGAAAAGAAGCGCTGTTTTTCAGGTGGTTTTCCAATCCCCATTTTTTTTTAATTTTTTTGAGGGGTTTCCCAAGGGTTTTCCAAGGGTTTCCCAAGGGTTTCCCAATGGTTCTCACTTTATCTGGCTGAATCGTAGTTCACTAACCTGAAAAATCTCTGGAACCCGCGGCCATGTGGGGATTCCCCTGAAGTTCACAATCATTTTCAGTGAGGAAAATGGCGTGAGGTCATGATCAAATTCATCCACATTTGTATATTATGTATATATATATATAAATATATATATAGTATAATATGTATATAAATATGTATATGTATATATATATGTATGTATGCACACACATATATATATACATATCATGTGATTTCCATTAAACATTCCTACTATTCTATGCCCACTATCGTTGGTTGGTAGCCTAATTTCCAGCAACTTTATTTTATGTGGTTACTGTAGAGCCAGGCACAGGTGTCCTTTGTCTGGCTTTCATGGCCACAGAGTGAGGTCCATAAAAGGTTCGATTCCTCAGTTTCGACTGGGGAAAGCCTCTGGCTTATTGTTCTTGCGAGTTGGTCAATACCCATTGATGTTTGACCATCTGGTTATTTAACATAGCCATGGAAAATCACCATGTTTAATAGGTAAACCATCTATAAATGGGCCATTTTCCATGCCCATGTTAAATAACCAGAGGGTATCTCTTTTGGGGATGAAGATCCATTTTGGGGGGATGAAGACCTAACATGGATGATTCCGCATGAGGTTTTCCATCGCCATATTCGTGATTCCGCAAGTTATGTTAGGCAAAACATCTTGTGAAACTGAGTGGGATTGGGATAGGCCATGCCAAAATCTCAAGTCACTGCTAATGCGAGGCCATTTCCACTTCTGTTCGCTTCGCAGTAGCTCATGTTGAAGCGGGGCTTGGGCTTCCAAGGAACATCAAAGTTCATCCAAGGCAGCAAGTGATCAATCATAGCGCAGATGGCATTTCCCTGAGTCCTTGGGATACCTCATTGAAAGCTTGGATCTCTGACTATGGGTATGAAGCACTTCCGACTCCTGTAAGCCAACTTTTGGCCCTAAAACCATTCATGAACTCTTTGAGAACGCATGCTGCAGTTGCTTGAGGTTGTAAACATTTTTTGCGCCACCTTTGCCAATCCCCCATGTCAACCCTGGTTCATCAATCGGGGGGTCTCCTCCCAAAGAGTGATGTCATCTACTAAAATGGTACCCCCTATCAACAGCCCCGGGGGGTTGTTATTCCGGGGTTGACATTCTCCAAGATATGCCATGCTATCACAATGTTCAAAAATGGACGAGCGCAGATGACCACCAGTCCGATCGCCGCTTGTTCTCTTGAGGATCCATAGGGATGAGCGGAGGAGGGGCGAACTGCGGGATTTCGAGATCTAAGCGCCAAGATGCGGCGATTTTGCCCTTTGTCTAAGATGATCCCAATTTTTGGATGGGAAAACTGATGCAAACCTGGCTGGATTTAGGGGGCTCCCAGCATTTCCAGGTGGACCTCGAGCCGAACCGAGAGTCTCATAGAGACGATCATCACCGTCGCTCCTGGGGAAAATCTGTCTCTGCGTAAACTGAAAATGGAAAAACATGTTTTTTTTCATGAGGATTGAGATAATCAATCATTCATAATCCATTGGAATTGGGAGTACTGTATTTGCAGACAAACCCATATGGATAAGGAATGATATGGATATGTAGCTTGACATATCACCTCTTTCACAATTTTTGGTACTAACAATAACCACCATTGTACAACAGATGACCAAGATCTTGTGTGCAAAACGACCACGGATTCCAATTTCTCCAGAACACCAGCTTCCAGACCCCAAAGTCATTGAGGTCCGATGTTAGTTTTCCGATTTTTCACCACGTAACATGGGAAGTCATTTCAGACACATGATAATGATCCAGTCATTTGAAATGGTCGGCTATTTTGGGATAGTTACCCTCTGGTAAACTAACAGTTTGCTATTGAAAATTGCTATTTTAGTGAGTTTTCTCATGAAAATGATGATTATTTTCCATAGTTCTGTAAACGTTTACCAGAGAGTACCCCTTACATTCCCATCATTCCAATGACGTCAGGACGTTTTTGAGCCCAGCCACCGGATGTTCAGCTGATTCATCAGCGCCCCCAAACGCAACTCATCGCGACGTTGTTCCTGGTTGAAATGCCCATGAAATTGATTGGGGTGCTCGGTAAATTTTCCCTTCACTCCAATTCGAACAGTCGACTTGGGCTTGTACTACAGTTTTGGGTACATTCCCCCCTTTGCAGAGAGCTCGACAGTTATTTCCTGTCCGGAAATATGGATGTCTGCCTGATTGGTCATTTCCAGACTTCCATTTCAGGATATATCAACTAGCCATGAATATACACAGATGTACCAGCAGACGTGTTCGTGAAGGTTGGATGGTTTGTGTATCAACACCCAAGGAATAAAGCCTTGGATTCTGTTTTTTTTTGTGCGCTAAGCAAAACTTGGAGTACAGGCCGATTTATCCAGTTCCTGGTCTAAGTTTTCTCGTAAATGTAGGATTCAGCAACAATTTCCTCGAAGACCCCATGGGTTAACCCACTTTCCTTTGGCTGAATTGTGGCAGAATTATCTCCGGTGTCCTCAAACGAAAGTAATTCGCCAAGCTGAAAACAAGTTGATTGGAGCATATCCCCTTGAGAACAATCCTGGAAAAGTGGCGTCGCCGGGACGTCATGTGATTCACTAGATGCAAACATCCAGCAAAGACCAACCAGTTTAGTGGTTACAGCTGTTACATGCCTATCGTATCCAACATCTTTAATTGTAAAATCGCAATTTCTGATGGTGGATTTTAAAGACACACAGAAATTCAGGGTGACATAGATGATACCATTTTCTTGATCTTTCGCTATGGATGATCTTTCGCATGTTATAGCTATTGAACCAATGCTCGGAACTATACCGGAGTAGATGTGAAACAAGATCAGGATGTTATAGATTTTTATAGATTATAGTAACCCCCAAAAAGATCGAACAGCTTCAAAATCCCACTGTTTCTTGGGGGCTCCCGGATGATTTCGGGATACCGCCATTTGAGTAAACCCCCAACTAGTGAACATTTTGGGGGTTACTGCATAGTCACTGGATTGGTTTAAGGGGCAATTTTAACTGGAAATCTCGATATTTGATGGGAAAAACAATGGTTTCCAGTGAAGATTTTCCCGCTAAATCCTTCAACCAATCCAGTGATATAGATGATCCCAACAGAAAAACATCGAAATTCCCAGGCTGCCAAGGTACCATGAAGCCGCTGGCCTCCTGCAACCATTTCCTCTCCTGAGCAGTGGAAAAAAAGATGAGTGGATGGGAATCATTCTCCTGGATTTCGGGGAAAACTATGGAAAACTTATGCACAAAAAGGCTGAAACCAGCAAGTAGATTGATTTTGACTTTGAATCATTTTTTTCACCAAAAGTGAGAATATCATGAGGGATTGCAGGGAGAAGTGTGAGGATCCTTCAAGAATCGTCACGGGTGGATTTCCCTGGGAACCAAACTCATCCCATGTATAATTGGGGAGACGCCAACGGTGTTTGCGAACCACTTACGATTCTTGGGATGATCCTCCAGGCATGGCTCCAATCCAATGTATATCTGGTAGTTGAAACCATCCATTTTCCGGGAAATTCCACTTTTCCTCGTTCTAACTCCACTTTTTTGTTGATGAAGTTAAGCCCATTTTGAGGGCAAAACATGGTAACGCAATAATAAACCACCCATATTTTGATGCTCTATACTATACCACCAATAAACATTGCAAAATTGGGGGATGGTTTACCAATCCTTTTTTTTGGTCAATATCACCGATGAAAAAAACATTTTTGCAGAAGATTGCTAACGAATCCTCTCAATTTTCCTCTCGACATTATCAAGGGGGAAATATACACATTTTTATGGCCGTATGATGCTTGGTTGTGTTCCCATTGTTGTTGCTTAAGTCCAGGGAAATTTCGCAATGAATCCACATCTGGGCGGGAACATCATTGAAAAAGTATAGGATATTGCCTAATCAATATCCATGGTTGATGGATAGGGATCATACAAGATTGTTTGACTGGATTATGGATTCTCTTCGAGCCCAAAAGATAGAACAACTTTAATTCACATGAGTGTTTTAGGATTGGAAGTTGGAAGCAGTGTTCAAAACCCTTTGTTGTCTCTTTATGCTGGCTGGTTAAGAACGGATTTCACAGTTCATGGATTGCGATAATCCTCAGTGTAATATATATATAAGATATATTCAACACAACCACGGATAGTATAGTATAACCTCAGAACTAATCATCATGCAATCATCATTTATCAGATTATATCCCCATGTATTGGGTACAACCCCGAAGCAATCATCAACCGAGGCATCCCAGGCTATCCCGAGCGCCTGGTTCAATCTCTTCTCTCTGGCGTCATATTCGATGAAGGGGTTCTTGTCACGGTTTACCTGACAGCTTTCTGTTGTTGTTTTTTTTTCCTGGGATTTTCTTTAGAAAAACAACATGAGGATATGATAAGAAAAAACTGGGAGTTGATAAAGCAACATGGTGGTTACAAAAAGAGCTTCGAACATGGGGTTTTGTGAGCAAAACATCAGGATTCTAAATGGGGTTATTCAGATTGACAAGAATGGGCAGATTCAGCTAACCAAAAAGCATTTTTTTGGGGCATAGGAGTCGGATGGATGCTGCAGATGAGATGCAAAACGCTACAGTGTCCAAACTTTATGATCTATTTGGGGACTCCGAGAACCCGAAATGCGGAGTCAACACGCAACAGAAAGATATACAACTCATGCAGAAAGAAACATTGTTGATTGAGGGGTCTCATCCCCCCCAAAAAAAGGATATGGATTATGGCCATGCTTTGATACCCCGCAAAAAGATATTATCTGTTCGTAAGCATGTCTGTCCATTTATATATGGCAAAAGAGATCGTCGCTATCCAAGATTGAACCATGGATGGTTTCTGTCCTTCCAGATCAGTAGATGGGGCTTACCTGCAATTCAAACTGGATTATATAATGAAACCCCAATGAATGTTCGCAAAATCCATCCTCAACTCCAGTCTTTGTTGGTAAATACATACAGCTGTTTCTACCATTTTTTCTTTGTCATATCTTTTACTCTCCAGTAAACTATATAACAATCCGATTTCGAACCACACACACTTCTTCCTCTCTTCTCTCACTCTTCCCATCTCTGCTGATATTGTCTAAACTTCCTTGTATTATATTTGCTGGACAAAGTAAAGAATTAAACAAATGGATCACAGTGCAGATACCAAACATAATTTGAAATCACAAGGATGGAAACACCCAAAACATGATTTGGCGCTGCCCAAAGGCTGTTGATTTCTTCCTTGGCACATTGACACGGGTTCCGAATCCCGTCCTCTGGCTGAAACGTGGTATCTATCTGACTGCGTGTTGCCGACTCAAATGTTCGCAAGCATACTCAATTTCATCTGGTTGGTGGTATACCTACCCCTCTGAAAAATGTGAGTTCGTCAGTTGGGATGATTATTCCCCATATATGGAAAATCATAAAATTCATGTTCCAAACCACCAACCAGTCATTTTTCACACCGCCTCTTCACCCTATCTTCAATCTCATGACCCTCCAGACTGGTTCCAGTCACCCAGCCAGGAATCAACCGAACCAACCTGCCTGGTTGCCCTTCTCCAGAAATTACACGTGTCTAGTGTGCGAGTGTAGATATAGATGAAACGTTGGAATGATCTACCTTCATGGTGATTTTGCAATTTGCCATATCGGTTTCCTAATTTGCTGGTGTATCGCACTTCTTATTCATTTATAGTCGAATTAGCTTCCATATTCCAATTCTCTTCCAATGATACTCCACTGATTTACCAAAATTCTATTCAAGTGTCAAAGACAATTATCAAAAGTTAGTTGTTGGCTTGATCACATCCGCCGTTCCCATACACCATGGTTTCTGGGACGTGTTCTGTTGAAGGTTGGGCTTCAAACTCATTGGTGGCTTCATCATCTTTAGAAAGCATTCCATTGATATAAGGATGGGATGCCTTTCCAATCCCATTAAGTCCAACTAAATATTAAATCACCATTAGGCCATCATGAATTCACCTTAAATCACAACAAATCTAAGCCTTATCCGAATCCAGAATTTGGAGGATGGTCATCTGAGTCATCTGACTTAAGCCAATGAAAAACATGGAATAACCCTAGGAATTGGGCACTTCGGATCACCAGGGTTACTCTTCCCCAGCCTTCCGCCGCAAGGAGGGGGCGCTGCGCGGCCGCAAGTCATCCCTGCGTTTGGTCGACGGCGGTTTGACAAAATGCCGGAGATGGATGGGAAACCCTCGAACGAAATGGAGGCTTTAAAAGGAAAGCCATGTACTTTCATGGGTAATCTTCCATTTAATTCGATGATTTACCTATATTTACCATACTGAGCCATCTTTGACCTGCAGTGTCCCAGTTTGGAATGGCTAAGTTGGTAGACATAACTCCAATAGCTAGGCCAGCCAGGCTTTATGATACATACTAACCTATAGTTCATGGGGATAACATAAGCCAACAAACATAAGGCACCGCCTCGCAGCTGGTTCAGAAAACACCGACCATATGATTTTCAGCAATATTTCAGCAATATGGTTTCTCCTAGCTCCTCAGATCAAGAACATGCACCTGAAGCTGGAGACTTGTCGTTGAAAGCCCGTCGTTGCACCCGAGACCTGTCGTTGAAAACCTGGGAGAGAAGGGGAGGCAGGGAAAAGGGGAGAAATCGATCGGGTAAACTGTTCACAATTGGGAATAATAAATAAATATATATATACACATGTATATATATATATACATAACATAATACATAACATGATGACATAACATAACATAACAAAACATAACATTACATTACATTGCGTTACATTGCATTGCATTACATACATACAGATATAAGTATGGTTATGGTTGATGGTGGTAAATCTGCTTTTCGTAAATGGTCAATCGTACCTATCCCCCAAACCCTCGGCGTTGCGCTTGGGGGCCACTATAGTAACTCACGACCCTGAAATCCGGCTTTTCTGGGGGCACTTAAGCCCTAATAAGCATCATTACAGTGACTTCCAAGCGTAGTTTCTTTTAATTCATTCCAATATATTCCAATATTATATAGTTGGACAGGATTTAAGGAGTGGTTCTGGGGTTTGAAACCACAAAAAATGGTATAGTCAAGGGAAATGGCTGACGAACATCGGGTGTACTAGCCAACAATACGTGTGTGAAACTGATTTCATTGGTGCTCTCCGCTTCAACCTTCTTGAGAAACGCTAGTCAACTGGTCCCAAAATACACAAATTACCAACAATCATGGAAACAATACATCAAGAAAGATTGCGCGTGACTACCAACCAACACCAGATGAGGATTCCGTGGAGGGCCGATTCCGGGGTTTTGCTTCAGGATATGTTGGGAGAAATGGCATGATTTTGGGACCATTGCCTATCGAATCTTGGGGTTGCCTTGTGGACAATTCTCCATTATGCATCTATAGCTGCCGTTCCCCACTCAACTTTCCCAGCCAGCCATGTTTGATTGCCGGAGGCTATCCCAAAATTGAGTTGGTTGAATCCACATGTAGGTGAAGCTCAAGTTTGCTAGTTTTTCACGTGTTTGGTCAAATCCAAAACCTTGTTGGCTGCCCTCTGGGAATCAAGCACGGTTTGCTCTGCCAACATTTTTAGATGATTTTCCCAGAAGGGATTTTCAGCCAACCCTATTTGACTACCAGAGGATAGATCCCGAATTTTGCCCCAGCCTTTTTATTTTTCCCTTTGAAAATCCCAGTAAAACACCCATATTTTTTAGTTTCTATAGGTAAATCCCAGTCAAAAACATTTTTTGGGGGGAGTCGCCCATGGGCGCGCTGAGTCAGGTCAGGTGGTCAGGTCACCCGGAGCTGCGCCGGAGAGTTGCCGTTGAAAGCAGGAGGATCTGAAGCAGTGAGAGGTGAAATTCACGGGAGTTTTTAGTGGTGCCAAATCCCCAGTAAACTACTTACACTACTTACAGATGATCCTATATGGAATAATGGATGGGATTATATGGAATAATGATCCTACCAGTTTGCGAAAAATGATGATTTACAGGTGATCTACCTATAAAAAAATGCTGCTTTTCCATAGCTATGTTAGTTTACCAGAGGGGAAAAACGACATTTTGATATAAAACAATAGGATCCACCATCCCCAATTTTGGCATTCTTGTGGGTGGTGTTTTACCACCTAGAGATGGGTGGTTTATGACATTGCTTTACTAACATTACCCGGTGATAAAGGACATTTTTAAGATCATGGGATTAACATCCAGCTATAGCTATTTTGGTGTGAACATTCCCAAGTTTGCTGCTTCAAGCATGGTTGTTAAATCCCCATTGAATACTAATGGACAGGGTTTTGGAAGACTACTCATTTTCATTGGCCCAAGCACCCCTTATTTTCCAAACTTTTGTTGGGCGACTAGTGAAAACCATCTTAAACCTCCATTTGCACTCTAGTTATTTAACATAGCCATGGAACATTACCAATTTATAGATGATTTATGATGGTTTACCTATTAAAAAACCTGTTTTTCCATAGCTACGTTAAATAACCAAAGGGTATATCTGGCCAAATGATGGTTGCCACCGGACTTTTTCTTCATCTCCTTCATCCGACCTCAAAGCGGGATAAGGTAGGCAGCGTTGTGACTACCAATTCGGAGCTCGCCGGGAGTGAGCGACTGCCACCGGACTGCTCACCTGTATTGCTGCAATTGCCCGGCCGACAAACAGCCGGCAACGAATGCAAAACAACAGCAGGGACCAACGCATTGGCATCGGGCGGCGTGCCGGTGCGCGAAGTGCAGTTCACGATCAACGAACAGAGGCACTGGAATGCGGCCTCAATGTTCTGACCAATCTCAGCAACACATCCACTGACGTGAACAGATGGGCTTTTGTGAGTCATTGACGGCCAGTGCTTGTAATTGAATCGAAGATTCTCTAGAAGATCTACTGGTATTCTGATTGTGCTTCTGCAGAATATTACAATAAAAGTAGTTACACACCTCGAGAATTCTCAAGGAGAGAACACCGGTTGAGCACAGAAGCGGCATGTCCCTTGCATTAGGGACCGACGTAAGCTGCAAATGGAGCTTGCTTTTCCTCTTGTTCTCCAAGCATCTTCAGGACTTCTTGTTGCGTGCGCTGCAACAGCTGAACGCTGCACTCGAGGCAAAGGCGAGGCGGCTGCCTTCTACCATTGGTGCCATCCATGACTTGACATATTTGAAACAGCAGCTTTTGCTTAACTGCTTAACGATCGAGCCTAATCCGTAGGGTAATCTTCTGGAGCAGACCCATGCCTATAGACGCTTCCTTTTGATCGAGTTTCAAGTGAGCCAGGTTCTCGAGCAAGGAGTTGCAGGACGGGCTGCATGAGCTGCTGCTCAAAAAAATCAAGTAGCCTCAACATTGGATGATTTGATACTGCCAGTACTGCATTTGTGGGTCCGTTCGTAGCACAATTCCGAACAGAAGAACATTGAAGAACATGCAAACGTACGCTGCGAGGTGTACCACCGGCACCAGCTCCAAGCCCTGCACAAGGTGCCAGATTTAGGGTGTCAGTATGTGTCAGTAGTCAAAACGAAAGGTAAGGCTCTGGAGCCACGAACACCAAAAAATCATCAAAATGCTACCCTTTCAACCCTTTCACTGGTAAAGACTTAACTGACTTTCACTTTGTCCGATGCACTGGTGCTTTCCTGCAGGTGTAGGTGCAGGTGAAAAGCGGCGGACAGGTGCAACGCGCGGACTCTCAGGATTCGGTTTGGAGTGCGCAATTTCGTTGTCTTTGATATCTGGGGCCATACTGATTCAGTAGCCCAATGATGTTGATGGGGTTTACCATATAAGTTTTATCTCATAGTGAGTGAACCGTATATAAATCCATAAATAAAAAGATGATTTTACCAGGCCCGAACCGCGGCCCGAACTGCGCCACCGCCGCGACCGGTGGCACCGGAGGCGGCGCCTTGGCCATCTCATGCAATTAGCCCTCATGCTTCCCCACCAGATATAAGCACTAAGTCACTCCATTTATGGTTTATGTATAATCCCATGGTTTATGTATAATTCCAGGTAAATAACCACTTAGAACTAATAGCCATGGCCATAACTGTGGAGAATCAGCCAAGTAAACCAACAAACCCAGGACAAACGGCCACCGGCCTTCGGGCCGGTCCCCTCATACCCCGTCCCCCTGGCCTAGGTACCAACGAGCCGGGCCTGAACCAGCGTGGTATCAATGAGGGTATCAATGGATGACCGGGTCCTATCATACCCCCAACCGTTCATACCCTCTTGGAATCTTTTTAAAATATTCCGCCATAGTCGAAGGTTGTTCTGGAAAATATTCTGATACGTTGCCTACGTATCGAATAATTTTCAGCAATTTTGTTTCCAAAAATATTTTGGCCACATGTGAGCCTCAGACCATGGCCCTGTCGATCTCGCATAGCGCTCTCCTCCCTGTGTGGTCCTCAGATTAAATATTTAGGATCACCTTCTGCCCTCACTGTGGGTTTTTTCCTTCTGCACTTCGCAAATTCTTCAGCCTGAAGCATGGCGGCTGTTGGAATTTGGCCGGCAGCTGCCGATGCGTATATTGCTGCCTCGGTCTGCATCTTGGTGATGTCATCCCCCGTCATGTGGCTCGAGCACACTGCCTTAAGCATTGCACCTGCTGACTCAGCTGCACCCTGGTGGCAGGTAGGCGCAGCCCTCACTTTGCTCAGAGCGTCGGAGATGGATCGAGCATACCTCAGGCAGATGTGGATGCTTCGGTCCGCCGGGCTGTGCTGCTTCGCCAGTGTGAATTCTTTCGCAACAAGGTGGAATGATATGTTCTTGAGGTCACCCGAGAATATCAATGGTTGATATGACTGGTGGTACTGTTCATGGGGAGATGCTGGGGATATGATGAGAATGGAAAAAAGGCCACCAATATGATTTGGCTTTGCGAAACCGGCTTTACGACCAATTCACGGCTGTTTTCATAGGGAAACCAATGAACTACTGGAATTGCTCGTGCCCTACTTTCAGACAAAAACCATATTAACTGGTTCAAATGTTGATGGTACCAACACCGTAGACACCATAGAGACGATGGTCAATATGTATATATATATATATAGATAGAGAGAGAGAGAGAGAGAGTCCCAAGATATAATGATGGATGTTCCTTTGATTCAAGGTTCGTAATTGGGCTTCTATACTGTTGATGATGTCTAATCAAGGGAATTTTAAGCGTCATTCAGCGTCTCGGTTTACATTTGTTGGATTTATCAACCATGACTGGATACTAACGTGGCATCAACCGTAAACTGTTCATAACCGTGTTTATATATATAATTATGTATATATATATATGGGTGAACATGGTAGATGCGCTTATCATCAGCCCCACTAGTTCGATATATCTACCCTAATCCATAGTTGAGTATGGGGATTTCCATACATGGGGTATTCCCAAATGGGATGAGGCTGAAAATCGGATTCAAAAAAAGCTTGGAATCGAATTTAAAGAAGAATTAAATTCGAATTTAATTCCAACGTGTCTGTTCTTCATTTGACCTTCAAGAAGGAATTAAATTCAAATTTAAATCTTGTCATGGACTGCGTTGTCTGGAACGTGCCGCGGACTTCTTTTTGGCCAGCCAAAGGGTTCCAAAGCGCCAAAAGCAGATCGAAAATTTTTCCGTGCCTGCAAAGCAAGCCAAGTGATTGTTGAAACCGATGCAAGTCTCTCTTACTGGATCCATCCGGTGCAGCCTACAAAAAATTACATACGAACTTACGCGGGGGTCCGCTTTTCTTGCCGAACTCGGGCTCTCGAACGGGAATTTCGGGCCCCCGATAATGCACATTGACAGCACAGAAACTTTTCTTGCACAGACATTTCACCCATATACTTTTCACCCCGAGACTCTTCTTGCACATACTTTTCAACCATATACTTTTCACCCAGAGACTCTTCACCCAGAAACTCTTCTTGCACATACTTTTCACCCATATACTTTTCACTCAGAGACTCTTCACCCAGAAACTCTTCTTGCACATACTTTTCACCCATATACTTTTCACTCAGAGACTCTTCACCCAGAAAACCTTCTTACACATACTTTTCACCCATATACTTTTCAACTAGAGGCTCTTCTTGCACATACTTTTCATCCAGAGACTCTTTACCCAGAAACTCTTCTTGCACATACTTTTCACCAATATATTTTCACCCCTTCACCCAGAAACTCTTCTTGCACAAACATTTCACCCGTATACTTTTCACCCAGAGACTCTTCACCCAGAAACTTTTCTTGCACAGACATTTCACCCGTATACTCTTCACCCAGAGACTCTTCACCCAGAAACTCTTCTCGCACAGACATTTCACCCATATACTTTTCACCCAGAGACTCTTCATCCAGAAATTTTCTTGCACATACTTTTCACCAACATATTTTCACCCATAGACTCTTCACCCAGAAACTCTTCTTGCACAGACATTTCACCCATATACTTTTTACCCAGGGACTCTTCACCCAGAAACTCTTCTTGCACATACTTTTCACCCATATACTTTTCACTCAGAGACTCTTCACCCAGAAACTCTTCTTGCACATACTTTTCACCCATATACTTTTCACTCAGAGACTCTTCACCCAGAAAACCTTCTTGCACATACTTTTCACCCATATACTTTTCAACTAGAGGCTCTTCTTGCACATACTTTTCATCAATATACTTTTCATCCAGAGACTCTTTACCCAGAAACTCTTCTTGCACATACTTTTCACCAATATATTTTCACCCCTTCACCCAGAAACTCTTCTTGCACAAACATTTCACCCGTATACTTTTCACCCAGAGACTCTTCACCCAGAAACTTTTCTTGCACAGACATTTCACCCGTATACTCTTCACCCAGAGACTCTTCACCCATCTTCTCGCACAGACATTTCACCCATATACTTTTCACCCAGAGACTCTTCATCCAGAAATTTTCTTGCACATACTTTTCACCAACATATTTTCACCCATAGACTCTTCACCCAGAAACTCTTCTTGCACAGACATTTCACCCATATACTTTTTACCCAGGGACTCTTCACCCAGAAACTCTTCTTGTACAGACTTTTTACCCAGAGACTCTTCTTGCACTAAATTTTAACCCACATATTTTCACCCATAGACTCTTCACCAAGAAACTCTTCTTGCACATACTTTTCACCCTTATACATTTCACCCATATACTTTTTACCCCGAGACTCTTCTTGCACATACTATTCAACAATATACTTTTCACCCGGAGACTCTTCACCCAGAAACTCTTCTTGCACATACGTTTCACCCATATACTTTTGACCCAGAGACTCTTCACCCAGAAAACCTTCTTGCACATACTTTTCACCCAGAGATTCTTTTCAACCAGAGGCTCTTCTTGCACATACCTTTCACCAATTGACTTTTCATCCAGAGACTCTTCACCCAGAACCTCTTCTTGCAGATACTTTTCACCCATATACTTTTTACCCAGAGACTCTTCACCCAGAAAGCCTCTAACTAGCTGGCCCATCTATCTGTCCATTGACTGAGCCCAGAAAACTCTAGAAAACCGGACCTAGGATGATTCGATACCCACCGTCACTGTTTTGCCGCCTGGTACATTACCCTGCAAAACCATACTTACAGCTAGGTAACTTACATTAAAGAACTCCTGCCGGGGTCTCACCATTCCCAACTCCCTAGACAGATAGGTAGATAGATAGATAGATAGATAAAAGATAGCTAGATAGCTAGATAGATAGTTAACTTACATTAAAGAACTCCTGCCGGGGTCTCACCATTCCCAACTCTGTGTAAAGAGTCTTAGACAGACAGATAGATAGATAGATAGATAGATTCCCAAAATGCGGACTGCCGGATCTCGTCCCGCGGGGGTCCGCAAATTCGACCCCACCCACCGCCAAAATCTCAAAAAGCGGACCCCCGTACATAGGTGCACCAACCTGCCCCCGACGCCTTCAAAAGTCGTCGCAGTGAGAGTGCTGTGCTTGATCTTCTTCTCACGAAGCCATCTTTGCGCACCCTTACGCAACGTCTCTGCCTCCAAAAAGGCCTCCGTCGCCACATGCGCCCATGGCTTCCGTTTCCGACCACGGCGAGCTTCTTGGTCCGACATCTCTCAGCAACAAATATCACCAGAACACAGCTCATCCGGAACCAACCATGCTACACCAATCCCATTCTACTAATCCTCATTTCCCGCATGGGTCCCTCAAAGGAATTAGATCTAACTCGAAACCAGGATTGCATATTCTTTTGGGATCTTTTAGGGGAGTACGGGGTACTTACGGGATGAAAAACCTCTGGTTCTCAACCAATATAGAAAAAGAATGAAGGGTCAGGCACAAGAACACAGCAAAGCCACAGAATTAAATTCAAATTAAATTCCTTTAGTACGTGGCCAACAGTGGGCAGCCAGAGAGGGGGAATTAAATTCAGATTTAATTCCAATTGAATTTGATTTCCAGCCTTATTTCTCCCAAATGGATGGTTTGGAATGGAAAAATGAAAACAACATGGATGATAAGTGCGGGTACCCCCATGACTTTGGAAACCTCCATAGTTACATTTTTGTTGAATCTTCACTGATATAATAGATATAGTATTGATCAATAAGTTACTATAGATAAGTCCGCAAATACTATAAATTTGGCAACACTATCGATAAGTCACTATAACTGATATATATATATATATATTATAAATCAGTGAACGAGAAACTATCTTAACATATTTTCGCTATCTACCATAATCCATGGTTAAGTATATATCACTCACCTATATATCTACCATAATTCAAAGTCAAGTATATTCTCTAGATTATCTGAAACTATTTTCTACAATACCATAAATGAGGATATCCTTTGGTAATTGAATACTTTGCTATTGAACATGGCCCATTGAGTTCGTTGATTTCCCCATTAACACTGTGATTTTCCAGTTCGTGGTGTTAGTTTACCAGAGGGTAATTGGTTGAAAACCCCATTATTTTGAACTATGACATCATTTCTAACAATACACAACTGCAAAATCCTGGCTGATGTTTCCAGTTGGAGGTTTCCTGAAATGGGGGTACCCCTAAATCATCCATTTTAGATTGGGATGTACCATGAAATAAACCATGCATTTTGGAGATCCCCCATCAAAGTGAAAACCCCCAGAAGTGGAACCCCCCAGTTGGTTATGTTCGTTTGGACGATGAGACATTTCCCCTACAGCGGCCTCTCCAACTCAGGCGTGGCGTGGGCGGTCATGTGATCCACCTGTGCCGGACGGAAGATCGGCGTAGAGGTGATGGGAACTTCCACTTAGTAAATGGGGCGTTTATAACAGTTATATCAATGGGAATTTCAGGATCCTAAAATGGAGGTACTGTACCATATAAGGCCATATTTTCTGGTGATATTCCCTTACATAGGCCAAAAAAATAGGCCTTATATATGGTAGGTACCTCCAATTTAGGATCTTGAAATTCCCATTGATTATAAGTTCGTTTATAAACCATAGTATCTATAGATATAGCTACAATAAACCCTAGTTATTGGAGTTATAAACCAACTTAGCTAACGAACTGGGGCACCTCCTTGTAGATATAATATGATATAAGTATAGTTGATAGACCTATGGTTGGAAATATCAACTTAGGAAATGGGTTGTATATGGGTTACTGTATATCCTCAGCTATATGAATGGACTATCCCCACTTATACATAGGATTGTATGGTAAATATGGCTTGGTGGTAGATATAAATATATAAATAATACAACTATAGTTACGGTGGTTTTTACGTATCAACTTTAAACTGGGGAAGATCATGATGCGGAAGGATCAGCCCAGTGGTTTGTGACTGGGATTAGTTCACCCATTAAGTGGGATAAGCTTCTGGGATTTAGCAACTATAGGCTTATTAATCCCTTACTAAGGGAACCATGAATGGGGGTTTCTTTAAAATGGGGAACCCCCCAAGTCTTGGATGATTTGGGGGTACCCCCATAGGAAATCTCCATGTTGCAGTGAGTCAATGATCACCATGAGGGTGGTGATTGCCAGCAACTGATAAACCATCTGGATATCTAACCAAACGGCTTCATCCTATTGATGTTATAAGTGGGGATGTTTCCAACCATAGTTCCTATTGATGATGATTCTTGGGTCCAAAAGTATGATTCTCCGGTATGTGTGGGCTGATGAACATCCAGCAGGATAGTTGAAGTATCTAGCTGGAGGCAAGGTTTGGGTCTGTCTGAAAGTACCCCCACTTCCAATGGATTAATGGGTTCTCATCATTTTCACTATTAAAATTGTTCTTCTGGTTGGTGGTATACCAACCCCCCTGAAAAATATGAGTTCGTCAGTTGGGATTATGACATTCCCAATAAAAATAAAATTCATGTTCCAAACCACCAAGCAGTCTTTGTGAGTATCCCACTTTTCAGACAAACTCAGATACCACTTGGCGGTGCAGTGGAGGTTCGGCAAAAAAAACATGGTTATAAGCTTTATAAGTTGGGATATAACCCCTACAATTCTGATCAAAACCGTGGAACCGTGGGACCGTGGGATGCTGATTCCAGTTGGTAAATTCATAGGTAACGTGACCCATCCCCATGACTTGAACTAGACTTGGTTCTTTGGAATCCCCCCACCATGAGGTGAGGTCCCCCATCTCCCAAGACATGAGCCTCCTGCGGGGCTTAAATCTCACCCCTGGTCAGTGATTCCAATTTTCGTGAAAAATCCCCAACTTATAAATGATGCTTTTCATTAAGCTTCCAGTCATGTCCCATGACTGAATCCTGGTGCTACGGGCTGGGCAATCTGGGACGTACGCCCTAGTGGTTCCATCCCCATGCATCATGAAAAATCACCGTGTTTCTGCTGGCTTTTCTGCCCCCAACCTTCCCGGGATAGACGATTTAGTGATGATTCACCCAATGCCATTCCCCAGAATCACCATTTTTGTTGTATAAACCATCCCTCAATGATAGGTTTATTTGTGGGTTTACCACATGCCTACAATGGGCATCTCCAAATCATCCAAGTCATTCGACCATTTTCGTCTTGAAAGCCATGGTGACTTGGGGATCCCCATTTTAAAGAAACCCCCAATCATGGTTCCCTTAGTAAGGGGTTAATAACCCTGTTTACTAAATCCCAGAGGCTTATCCCACTGATAAATGAGTGAACCAACCCGAATCGCAAACCACTGGGCTGATCCTTCCAGTGCATCATGATCTTCTCCAGTTTTAAGTTGATGCGTAAAATCACAGTAACTATAGTTATATCATGTTACATCTACCACCAACCCATATAATCCCATGTAATCCCATATAATCCCTTGTATACGTGGGGATATTCCGTATATATAATATATACATATACATATATATATATATATACATACTGTACTGGGGATAGAACCAACCCATTTACCACGTGGGGCTCGCACATCCCGGGCCCCCTCCGCCCCGCCTCCACCGCTCCTTGGCGACAGCGGTCGCGAATCCGTCGGTGAACATCCGAGGAATCCTGGCATTTCAATGGTTTTAGTGGTGCTATCCATTGATTAATGGTCGCTAATAGTTGTTTATAGTCGTTAATTGTCGTTAATAGTGGTTAATAGTGGTTAATCGTGGTCAATAGTGGTTAATAGTGACTAATGATTATCCATTGATTAATGGTGATTCATAGTGGTTAATAGTGACTAATGATGCTGAATATAACTGATAAATAATTGTTAAAAGGTAAATTAAATATACCCTCTGATGAATTAACAGTTGGACCCTACACAAGGTGGTGCCCCAGTGAGCTGTTCACGCTAAGTTGGTGAACATAACTCCAATTTCACTAGGGTTTATGGTAGCTATATCTATAGTTACTATGGTTTATAAACGAACAAACATCACTGGGGGGGCACCACCTTATAGGATGGGGCCTCCGTGCTATGGCGAACTTCGTTGAGATATGGATAAGTGGCTGAATTCGATTGGGTTTATGGTAGGTATAACGAACTAGTTAATGGGTTGAATCTAAACCAACACACATAACTGGGGGGGCACCATCCTGGAAGAAAAGGATCTTAAGGGTGCATAAAAATGATGAACACTAAAGGGCTAAACCAATTGAATGCTTACACATGAGACTTATGAAAACACATGGCTTTGGGTAAAGCGAAAGCCGACTCTCTTAGTTAGTTGACCATTCAAATTTGGGGATGCCCATCATAGATAGTATATGGCAGCTCAAAACAGTTGTGTGCCAAATCCCTGAAATCTATTTTGAACAAGGTTTATGGTAATGAGAATTTAATGTTCAATTCTGTCCTGATAGAGCCAAGAAAGTCTGGCAATATGTCGTTCTCAGATACACCACACAAGAAGTAGTACGACATAGCTCGACAATAGTGCCTTGTCTCCCTGAAGGTGTCTCAAATGGATGTGCGTAAAATACAAGGGTGTGAGGTAGCGCAGCCAGTCGCACAAATTCTGGACCTCGACACGTCTTTGGGCTTTGCCAATGACCAGATTGGTACTTGATAGTTCGCCACTCAATCCCCAATCTCGTTGATGAATTCCCAATCAATGTCAACCCTGGACTAATGAGCCCCCTGGGTCGTGAAAAAAAAGGGCCATTTGCAGTTAAGTAGCAAACCATTATTTTTTTTTGGTGGCAAACCCCATAAGATATAAGTAATCAACCAGGGTAGATCTTGATCCGGAGTTGACAATCGTTTATGGGTGGTAAATACCATGATGATCACCAGTTATACTGTTATACCCCATTGAAGCAGGGCTTACTTCCGATCATATTTATCGATTATTGATTGGTCCAATCCCAATTATTTGTTGCCCAATATTGTCAATACCATTGATTTAATCCAAATACATTGACTATATCCATTGGTTATATCCCATTACATCACAATATGGATTTGTCTGAGCACGGGTTACCCTCGACACCCAGCAGATTTTCATCATTTTCCACTGACATGCACTTTTTTTTGACTCATAGATACTCAATGATATTCATAGGTTAAATTCCAATTTTGATTGTTCAATCCCATTATTATCCGAAAACTAAGGCACCACTAAATCCAATTGATCATTATTTTCACCATCAAAGCAACCATGAAATCAAGGCATGTTAGTCATTTTCAGACACACACACCCAAATATCATCTTAAATATCTTATCTGGTTGGTGGTATACCAACCCCTCTGAAAAATGATGGAGTTCGTCACTTGGGATGATGACATTCACAATAAATGGAAAGTCACAAAAGTCATGTTCCAAACCACCAACCAGTCATCCATTCATCAATGGCCATCTATTTCTATGGGCCATTTCCCATGGCTATGTTACACAACCAGTTGGTATACATACAATGTGGGCCCCCCCCCAGTTATAAGTTGGTTTATAAGCCCCAGTAACTATACTTATAATTAAATACCACAAACCATAGTTATTGGAGTTTTAAACCAACTTAGCTATCTAGGGGGGCCTCACATTGTAACAAATTGGACTTCGGTGATATATCATGATCCCAATTTCTATCCCCATCGGTGCTTAGATCCGCCTCTTTGCCCTCGAACTCTTCACGCGACTGCGAGACCTGGATCACCGCCTGTCGCGGAGGGCCCTGGGGAGATGGGCGGGATCCATTAGGGAAATTGGAATATTGGATTCTTAATTTGTATACTATCAATATTATTGGGATTATAATCATATATTGGATTATTCCAATATAATATTATTATATATAATATATCAATTAGAATAGTGCAATTAGATTTGCATAATTGATAATACTATCAGTATTCCAATCTAAGAATGAATTGGCTTTATCGATACTATTATTATTACCATTGGGAATATTATTGGATTTACCCATTGGACAATGGATTTTGGAAAATTAATCGTTGGAATATCGGATAATAATATATAATCCATTACTACTGGAATATTGGAATCCATTATAATCATCCCCAAATAGATGGAAAAGTAAATCCCTACTAATTTGATGGTGATTTACTTTTCCATCTATTTGGGGATGACTATATCCAATGGGGACATGATATGGAATAATGAATTAATAATTGGAGTGAAATCACATGGAACTCAAACTTTTTCTGTGACCTACAGATTACTAAACCACCAAACCTTTAGCAATCTAATTTTGATGTAATGAAACACAAACACTTTTTTTTCATGGGGTCATATTAGGCGATGAGTCAAAACCCAAAAAATGGGCTCATGGCTGTTGATTCCCCCGCATATTGTCATTTCATGTGGTTTGACCCATCCCCATATGATTCTGGGGTTGGACACTTGCGGTTACCAGTCTTTGGCTGTTGGAATGATGGATTTCCTGCAACGGGGGGCCCCAAAAACCAGCCGGCCGATCGCTTCTACAGCATGGATCATTTCATTGTGCAACATACGCAGAATTGACGATTCTATGACCGTCTTCCATGGGATTTACTTGCCAATTGCTACCCAAATGATCCCTGAGGTTTGACGGGATCTTAGCACTTCTGAACTTCTCCCAACCACTTCCATAACCTCAAGCAGCACTGAAATCCCAGTCCAAGCTGGGCATGTTCACACAAAGGCCAACTGTTCACTTAAATAGGATTACAATCAAAAAAAACGTGGGGAAAAAAGGTATGGCAACCAGGACAATCAGCCTTTTAGGGATGATTTGCAGATGGATTAATTTACCTTTCACACATTAGCCCCACGAATCAGAACGAAAACAACATGCTGAAGGTCATGGTTTCATAGTCCGTTTGATATGTTGGATTGCCACTACGTGCAGTGTATTGGTATGTAGCCCCACCATGATCAAATCCAATTCTACATGGCCAGAATCTTCCAGAAGTAAGACGGATCGAAAAAACATGATGATTGTTTTTTCAACAGTTCAGAAAAAGCAAGACCTACCTTACACCAACAGAAACAGAATTAAACTCAATGGATTGGTTTTGTTGAAAAATCTTAACTGGAAACCATCAAAATTTTCCCATATTTTTGCCTGGGGCTTTCCGGTGAAAATTTTCCCAACACAAGCGACCTGCTGGCTGGGCTCCACCTCGGGCTCCTGGATCCAGGTTGCTTGGCGTCGCCGTTGATTAGGTTTTTAACGGTGCTTTATGATGATCTTGACATATATATTTATGATGGTTCATCTTTACGGTTGGTGATTTCTTTCTTTTTTCCGAGTTATGATCATCTTTATGAATTTTCTGAGTTTGGGAATGGTGCTTTAAAAATCGTAATATATATATATATATTTATTTATTTATTTATTTATTTATGATTACTTTGGGGATGGTTATTTTCTTAGGTGAATCCCCCCCCAAAAAAAGTAAATCTGGGCGATTGCCATCCTAATGGCCTGGCTTAAAATAGGGGATCTTCCAGACCATGGGTTTCAATACTAGAATTGTCCAATGACTTATATGACTTGTATGATTTGGGGACTACCCCCATGACTTAGGAAACCTCCGCACCGCATTATTGGGGAGGATCGAACGAGTTGCCATGGTTGTCAACCTATCCAAGGAGTCTTCTTCTGCCGCTTCTGATCTGCCCCGCTGTTACAAGTAGGTGATTCCGGCCAGCTAAAATGCCTCATCAAGGCTTCAACTGCGATCCGCTGTTCTGCTGCAACTGCAACTATCTGAACTTTGGGGTAAAACTTATAATCTGCCGGATAAACTGGTATCAACTCACCGTAATTTGCCAGTTTACCAACTTAGATGCCATGATTTTCCAATAGAACCTGCCCAAAGTACCTGTTTGACCCGTTTGGCTGCTCGTTGACGCCACAGTTGGTTTGGTGGACAGGACAACCTGCGCACTGATTCAGGAAATGATTCAGGAAATGATATAAGCATTTGCCGTCTGCTGTGGAATTATGCCAATTGCTGCGAAGCTCGATCGAGGCGCAAAGCCGACCTCCAACCCGTGCTGTGGTCATCCAAAACCTCTTCCGAATGATCTATAATTCATGGCTCATCTTCGACTTCAAAAACAAATCCGGGGATACAAATCTCATTCATCTGGAAATGATTCCCCGTAATTACTCATTTACATTGACGTTGTGGTAGTCGCGAAAACATCATGTAGATTTATGGCTACACTCAATTTAGCATAGCATAACATAGCTATGGTTCAATGGTGGGGAAAACACCATCAAACTCAAATCCTGGACATACTTGTCTAATCTTGTCTATCTTCTTATCATTGGATTTGTTAAAGGGACCATTTACGGGATACCTTGGACCGAATCTCCCAAGCCCTGAACCCAGCGTTTCCTTCACCCGCCACTGCGTACCAGGCATGAGGCCCTACTATCTGAGTTGAAGTGCTTGGTGACAACATGGCTGAAAATCTATGGGCTACCTTAGTATTTAAACCGCTGCTGATGAATCAACTCAATTCTCCAACTTTAATCCTGAACTCTTCAAGGTGCTCAAGAGATTTCTGGTAGACTTGTAAGATGTTCCATCCATGCCTCAGAATCATCCTACATATATTTTCAGTCGAGGCTGGATGCTGGGACTAAACCTCACAAGCAGAAACCAGAACAGGCTGGTGGAAGCCTCTTGCAGCAGATCAATTTCCGTTCTAAGCCAAACTCAGACACTTCTGGCAATGGACCATTCCCTATTGATAGCGGTGCCTGAGATGCTACCATTATTCTACCATGATTTTAGCATTAGTTTCATAGTTTCCATATGTTTCCATAATGATTTACCTGAATTTCCGCTGATTTTACTACCATTTTCCCTTGTTCCTTTGCCATTTCTGCGAGCTTGGGGCTACGGTGAGTCCATGGGAATCCACAACTCCAACTCCGTTCGTTGCGAAACCATGGGATCCAGGGCAGGCTGAACATCCGCTATTCAAATGACTAGAAATCCCCACATTACTGATACGGGATATTCCATGGATATCCCCACTAAACTGATATAAATCAAGATTTGAATGGCAAAACACAACTATAACTGATGGATTTTCCATTGCGATGTTTGATTTTGAAAGGGTATTCTAATCTAGGAACCAGAAATCATGGTGTAAGAATCCCGCATCTTGCCCTGAAACACTCTGAATATCACGGTAAACCTGGTGAGATAGGAAAGCAACCACCAATCCAGGGTAACAATCAATCTGTCAGAGCTTCGAAAAAGTCACTCATGTGAAAAGATGAGAACTTCCGTTTCACAAACCTGAAATGGGTCGCCAGGTTTTTTTTGGAGAATCCCCCATGGAAAAAACACCCAGTCATTGCTCTGGCAACTGGTCGTGTCCTAGAACTTGGCCCATCCCATTCACCAACCATGTGGGGCTCAAAGAAAATTACATCACCGGGGCAAAGTCAATAAACTCCGAAACTTGGGGATTGATACAAAAATGGCGCTGGGTAAATCCTACATTTCGTTCTATGAGTAAATCCTACATTTCGTTCTATGACTCGAGTTATTCGAGTTATCCTAGGTCATTAGCTTCACGGGTTGCTGGAAGATCCCCCAGAAATATTGGCCAGTTTGAGGATTTCACAGCGATGACACACACGGGGGGGTATTTCCCTCAACATTCCATGAGTATCCCATGAATATCCCATGAATATTCCATGACATATTCCCATGAAACACCACTACAACATTGTTGGTCAAATCCCAACAAGAAGCACCATTTCATCCCAGTATTATCACAGTATTATCATGTATTATCCCCACTGAAAGCATATAGCAGATTATAGCAGCATACAATTACCATAATATGATACTGTGATAATAGGGATAATATACCATATAATAGGGATCAATTATAAACCCATATAATTACCATAATATGATTACCATGAAACCCCTGGGTTTACCACAATTTTTGGCGCTTCAAGCGGTACCCATCGCCACATCCCATCCTCCCATCCTCCCATTTTTTGGCGGTGAGACAGCTGGCGGTCGACCACTGGAGCTGAACAACACCATAATTCTATGACCTATATGATAGCTGGTTTGAACAGTTTATGAATTCTAAAATACTATACATCAACCGACTTAAGAGATCTTAAGAGTTTCTTTGACTATAGAATATAGATATATTACGATATTCCATGATATTCCCATTTCAAAAGCTGGTGATTGGAAGATATTGGTTGTCATTCCAACAACCCCTCTCGGCAATGTTGTTCGACCTATGCAGTGTTTCAAGCTCCCATGCTTCAGTACCTGGGTGAAACCAATGTATCTAGCAATGCAGTGCACTCACCATGATGGGAAATATCTTTGGAGCCTCGAACAATCCGTCAATTTGGAGGGGAAACCATGGGGCCCCAACTGTTGGGTCCCCCTATTCTTTTCTGGGTGACTGTGAATGCTGGTTGGTGGTATACCTACCCCTCTGAAAAATATTAGTCAAATGGGATGATGACATTCCCAATATATGGGAAAAATAATCCAAATGTTCCGAAAACCATCTGTGTTTGGATTTTTGATGCAACCTTTTTTCAGAATGATCGAACGTGTGGGCCATGAACTGGTACTAAAGGAACGTGTACCGCAAAGGGAATGTTGTGCCAGCTTTTCACCGGAGTCAGTTTGTTTTTTGGGTCAACTCTAATCATAAAATAGTAGCCATTTGAGCATCCTTTGGCATCTTTTTGGGGGGTTCAATCACATATCCACTATATATCATATATCCATTATCAATCATCTTGCCTGATATTTTCGATGATTTTTTAACAAATATCAATCATCCTCCATGATTTGCAACGTTTTTTCTCACCATTTTCCATGGCTTTCTTCATATTTTTCCACATTTCTGTAGCGGTTTCTCCCAAGTTCCCCAGCGAAAATCGCATCGCACCTGCGGTGGCTCGGCACGGCTGCACTGCAGTTCCAAGCGCAAAAGGCCCTGGTCCAAGGCCTCACGCAGATTTCACCACGAAAACTTCGAAGTGAAAAATGGGAAAGGTGGGGATGAAAAAGCAACAAAAGCCATGGTTTTTTCCCAAGAAAAATACGGATATGTTGGGTTTGGTACGGATATTTCGAAGCAAAACATTAGAAAGTTCTAAGCAGAATAAACATGTGATCAGACGATTTCGTAGGGAGATTTCAAGCACCAAACATGGGAGAACAAAGGTAGATCAACTGCAACAGACTCGGGACACCAACAGAAACAGGTGCAACGGAGATATAAAGCAAAAACTAAGATTTTGACCCTGAACTCGGGATAAGAAGCAGCACTTGGGATATCTTGACAATAATGAGCAGGTGTTATGACTTGGAAACCATGGATAATAAGTGATATATATATATATGTATATAGATATAATATACTATATAATCTCAAACAAAAGCTCCATGGGATCCAATATCCACATGGCATGTAGAAGAGAACAAAAGACACCCATAGACACCCACAACATGTCCACGTGCCAGCGCTCGTTCAAAATCACCGGTCCTGCACGAACTTCTGAAGGAGTTGTTGTAAGCTCTACAGGCCAGAAGCAAAGTGTTCCACAAGGGTGGATACCCATTGATCCCCATCAAATTCTTGGTATTTTTACACCACTTCTCCAAATTCCAATGATTCACCCCAATGGTTGATAGGTCGGTTTCCCTACCATGGGTTAGTTCATAATCCCGAATCACCCAGGTATATAGACTGAAACTAAACAAACCAGGTAGAATAACCCAGTACAATTCCCAGGTTGGTCTATCATTAATCTATACATAACTGTTTGGTGGTTTTAACCATCTTGAAAAATAGTAGTCAATGGGAAGGATTTTCCCATATATTATGAAAAATAAAACATGATTGCAACCACCAACCAGATAACCAACCATGGTATCTTTTTCATAGCTCAGAAAGCCAGCCAGAGCGTAACGTCTCGATACTTCACCAGCCTTGGAGGTGTCGGACAGGGCCTCTAAGCCAACCTCCTGGTAGATGGGTCAAGATTCATGGGATTCAACTTCTGTCCATATACGTGGCATATATATATATATATATATGTATATGCATACATGTTTAAATTAAGTACCAAACAAAAGGAACAACCTTACACACCCAATAATTACAAGTATACATATATATATATAGAGTTCCTGTATATATAGATATGTCCGTATATTATCACACAAGACCGATGCTCGTCCTGCAAACTTTTTCGCAGCTGGGTCAGCACGAGGGGGACATAGCCCAAGGCTGAGCCGCGGTCCTCAGGTTGCCAGGGATGACCGAAGCATCTGTTGCCATTGGACAATTTGGAGGTTTCCTAAGACATAGGGATACCCCCAAAATCATTGTTAGACCACAGGATGAATATCCCAGATGGAGGTTTCTGAAAAAAAATAAAATGGGGGTACCCTCACTCATCATCCAAGTCATGACCATGACTTAGTACTGAAAGCCATGGTGACGACTGGGGACACAAAAAATACCACAAAGAAACCGCCATTTAGATCATTTAGGATGAACAGTTGGCTATTCCAAGAATGAAAACATGATCAAAAACATACCTGGCTGGTGGTTTCAAACCCATCTGAAAAATATGAAAGTCAGTTGGGATGATTATTCCCAATACATGGAAAAAACAAATGTTCCAACCCCCAACCAGATACGGAACATATTTTCCAAAGCTGAGGTGGCTAGTCACAGCAGGTCACAGTGACTGGGAGCTGACTTTGTGCCGTTGGGATCTATTGGTTGTGCTCAAAAAATGTGGAAACTGAGCATCAAATGTTGGGGTACCCTATTTTCAGACAAACCTATTCTGGTTGGTGGTTGAGCCAACCCTCTGAAAAATATGAGTTCGTCAGTTGGGATTATTATTTCCAATATATGGAAAAAATGTTCCAAACCACCAACCAGTGATCTTAGGAACAGACTGCTTTGGCGACCTTTTTTCCGCGCGCTGGCTTTCAAATGTCGCGGCAATTGTTTGCAGAGAGCACATTCGTCCCGTCTCTTTTTGTGTTCGCAGATGCGCCTGCCACCACACAAGACACACGCGGTGATTTCCCGCTTGTGGTGGCAGAAGTTGAGAAGAGAAAAGATATCAAGCTTTGAAGACCACCCGGATGTTGGAATCCAAGGGCTTGGTTTTCCCAATCGCTTTTTGCACGCATCGTGTCCGTTTTGAGGAACCAAAACATGGATTTGGCTGGTGCCCGGGTGTCGGAAAAACCAGCTGCTTGAGATAGTTGCTGGGCAGGATCTGCACTGAAGCTGCACCACATCCTTTGCTTCATACACTGCAGGTAAACCTGTCCGGCTGCGCAACTCTCAACTAATTGACTTCCAAACTCCAATGATGTATATAGGCGTTTATTTCCATGTTAGTTCCTGAAAATCCCCACTTTGAACTCCAACTATGGAAGGGTGGATCTGATTAGTGTTTGGCCAATGACCTTGCCTTTGACCTTCTTGTTTGGATGATATGCGCCGTTCGAAACACCGCTGCTATCGGCATGAGATAGCCGTAGACGCTTTTGGCGGGAACCAGATGTCTCTTCACTTTGCTCGACCTTCACGTCATCCGCCCCGCTGATCAGCCAGCGAAGCTGACGCCAATGCCGAGCAGACGAAGTCGATGGAAATGCATCAAGATCAACTTGATCCAGCAATCCCTGGATAAAGATCAAGCTGCTTTCCAAACACTTCAAGGTGTTCTTGTCTTGGAGATCAAGGTTCTGCAAAGCCACAATCAGCACACGGCGGATTCGGCTCTGCAACTGGCATCCGGTGGCATCCTTCCGTCCCGAAGGTGCTGGGTCTTGCACAGCCCCATGCGCCACTGGATGATGCAGCCAAGCTGCGACGCGACGAACCAAGTGGCACAGAGCATCACCGTCAAGGGCATCGTCCTGCGATTGCCAGTTGAATCAGTGTGATCTCAAAAATGGACCGATCTTTGGAACTTTTGGTGGTTAAACCAGGAGGTCATAATCCACAAAATGTAAAACATTGTTTTGGAATTATTATTCAACCCATCCTATTAGAACATACACGTGTCCTCCAACAATTGTTCCAGCTCTGCTTCAGCTTGGCATACCCAGTCAAGTTGCTCCTCCATGGTGGCATTGCGGAACCTTCCAATCTCTCGTTGCAGCCTTTTCGATTGTCCTGAGCCACGTCTTGAGGAAGTTGACAGCATCGCAGAGTTCGCACGTTCCACCAGCATGTCATCTGACATGGTACAGCTGGTAAGTTCCGCGAGTGTGCCGCTGGCTGTGTCAACGTTCACTGCAGCTTTGTCAACGATTGAAAAGCTCACTGCTTGGCCAACTTTCAGCAATGGCCCCGCGCTGAAGGGGATGTTGGCCAACTTCCCATCTTCATGATATGCCACTGTGCCGCCCCCGTGATAGTGGAGTTGGCAAACATGCCCCAACATGGCAAATCCGAACGACACCAGCCAAAGGTCTTGTAGACATGTGTTAGGCAAATCCGGAGAACAGAACACAATAAAGGCCAAGCAAGAGTTATCCATAGTTTGCTTTGGCTTTTATTGTGTTTGCCCTGTAGATGGCTGTAGTTTATTAATGTTTATTATATTGACTTTGTTGATATAGCGCTGGCGTTCTTTTGAGAGGCTGTCCCAAAACTTACTTACTTCTTATTCCAGTAAATGCACTGACTATAGCAAATTCAATATTTAAAGGCATTGTTACATATATATATATATGATTTTCATAAAGGTTATACATGGTTTTATGGTTTACACATGATTTGTGGATTTATAATACCCAGAAGTATTGACTACATTCAGTACTGGTTGTCTTCCTTTCCTACATTTCTGCAAGCGGGCAATGGAAAGCCGCCTGAAAAGGCGGCTTTAATGGGACAAACATCTATCAATGAGCCATTTCCCATTGCAGTGTTTGATTACCAGAGGGTATCTTCCGATGATATCATCATTTAAAAGGAGATGCGTTCCATGGAGCTTGAAGATATCCTTAGAGTTCAACCCATCATCGACAGCCTGTACCCATCGATCTTGCAAACGTGGACAGCAGGTATTACTTGACTGTTCAAATGATATCATTGTAATGCCCGTAATAAACTTCCAATGATTCAAGACTACAGTTGTGGCCATTTATATATGTGTTAAAACTTGTTATTTCTTTGGGACTATACATAAACCAATGTAATTTTTGGTGACTTGGTGCAAACAGAACTGGTATGACTGTCGATTCTTGATTCCCTTAATTATATAATTGGTATCTCCCCGTGGAGTTGGCAATCTCCCATTCATCCTACTGCATGGATCTTTCCAGCAGTTAACTCAGAATTCTGCCTGGTTTCCAGCGTTGCTAACTGGAAAATCACCTATAAATGCAGGTTCTTATGGGAAATTGATGTGTAAATGGTGCATTTGCCATGCTTGACTATCCAAGGGTATTTCAACAAACCACTTTCCCACTTTTTGACCTATCTTTGACTTGCCAAAGTCACATTTCTGTTGATTCATCCAGTTCATTGCTCACTAGTTCCAAACTTCCTTAGTGGGATGATCCACCAAGCATCCCATCCACTATGCAGCTTTTCCAAGGACCTAAAGGACCTGCTCTCACTTTCTTATCGGGCGCCCAGCTATGATAACCTATATACAGCTTGTCCTATATAATTCTTGGGCAAGGCCCTAATTTTGGAAACTCCCAAGTTTTTGGTTTTGATGGTCTACCTCAACATAGCTGGTGATGTTGATCCCAAATGATCCTTGAATAAACCTCTGATTTTTGAAACAACCCCGACGACAAAAAAAGGATTTTCCACAGGAAGACCGTGATGCTTTTTGGTCAACATGAATTTTCTGACGCTTCATCCGACAGTATTGTTGGTTTGTGGCTTGATCTATGGAGTAAGCACCACCTATCCCTATGTTGGGTGAGACGCGATCTAATCAGTCATGGTTGCCAATTAATCTCTGATTATTATAACATTATCCCATCTATAGGTAGAAACCATGCTATATCTTTGCTCAACTGCATATGGGAATTCCGTATGTATAATGCTTTTAGGATACTTCAATATCTTAATCTCAAGTAAAGGGCAACCATATTCCCTATGAACCAACGGACGTATGTTTCCACATTTATTTGTTCTAGATTGTCTAATCATAGTCTCAATTACTCTGTAGTACATATCACAATAGTTGTGAAATAAATGTAACCAAATTCCCAGAGCTACCCAGAGCTACCTAGAGCTATGGACTAACATTTCCTTGCGAGACCCAATGATCCACCAAGCTTTACCAAATAAACATCCAGTGTTTCTTGATTCACACATCATTTTTGATGGTTAACCAGGTTAACCATGTTAAACCCCATTCGCAAACCATAAAAAGCAAACATTATCATGAAAATCTCAAGGGATCCCCCAAGGTATCCCTTGATCAACAAAGGCCTTATGTTTCGGGCTTGTTAACTGCCATCAACGCAGTTGTTTGTTACTGCTTAAACCGACTTAAACCCTCCAATTTTTTCATAATGTTTGAATACTTTTGATATAGTTAAATGCTGTCGAATAATTATTCACAAATTTGTGGCTGAAAACACCATTGTTGGCTGCTTTCATGATCATTTTCCGGCCAAATCATGATTTTGGCTGCTTCAATCATCCTATTTCTGGTGGTCAACTCACCATTTTTGCTGTTCAAAACCATGCCATTTCTGACGTCGCCAGGGCGCGATTTGCTGCGCTGCCGCGCAGCCCATCTCCACCGCCGCTGCGCTGCTGCGAAAGGTGGTGCCATCCGCGCCAGTGCCATCTGTTTTGCGGGACATTCATTGGAGATACCCTAGGGTACACTGACATAGATGGTGCTTTTTCATGGTGATTTGGTGGATATATTGATTTCAATGATTTTCAATGATTTTAAATGAGATAGTGGTATTATCCTTGTAATATCAAATATAAACATAAATAGATATATAGTGGTATCCAATGGTAACATAATACATTGGGATATCCAAGATAGGGATAAATGGTGATAAATGGTAATATCCCATGGGATATTACTACCCTAGATAATCTATAGATATACCCTAGGGTAAACTAACATAGACGGTAATTTGTCATGGTGATTCAATGGTGATTTCGTGGAAAATATATTGACTTAAATGATTTTAAATGTAGACGTGTCTATAGCTAATGGAATTCATTGGAATTTGATATTTTTGTGGGAAAAGGAAGAAGGAACATCAGAGAAATTATGGGATTCCAACGGGAAAACCTACGCATACTGAAGTTTTGATAGGTTTGAGGGAAATTCTACAGGAAATTCTATGTTTTCTTTTTGTTTTTTTTTACTACCGTTGGAGTTTTCAGTAGATTTTCCCGTCATCCAATTCCGAGACATCAAGATCAAATGCCATTCATGCCCACTAAAAAATGATATTGAATGCCTGCCAAATCAGAATGTATTTAATGTGACGCAAGTGATAATAATGATTGAGTGATGCCATGAAAAATCAGTAGGATTTGTTCTATCCCACAGTTCTTCAAGTGAGAATAATTATGTATCTAAGAGTCTATACCGTCTATACCTCTAAATTTACGCATCGTAATATACATATTGGGATAATCACAGGGGAGTATGTGATAAAAACATGGGATATTAAGAATCAGCCTAAAATACTGTAGTGGGAGACAGCAATGATATACAATAATGGTATGGTGATCACCCACTGATTCTGTAATATCTTTATCCTTTGACAATTGTTTCAATTGTTTCAGCTTCAAGACTGGAGTGAAAAGTACACAAATTAGGGTTCATCCACCAGAGTTTGAATGGAACATCATCCCAACTAAAAATTGTAAAATGAACCTGCTCAAAAGTGCCTCGTTCCTGAGGTTCTTTCCTCCAGAACTGGAACATTACTTGGATTTGCGGGGCGATAAAAATAAATAAATCATATTCCATTGATCGATTCCCCACATGATGGATTTACTCTTGGGAAAGTACGCCAAATCACCTCAAAATAAACCCAGGAAAATCAACGTTTTCACCAAAGTGACTAAACAAATCTTAGATTCTTGGGTACTCAGGATATTAATATGGACTTTTCCAGTTCGTCTCCAGCATTTTCTTCACCCCTGCGCAGTGTGCGCAATCCTTTCGGATGATCTACGGCGCCTGGTCTGCCAAGCTTGATTCTCACACCTGGTGCCAGGCGCCCAAAAATGGGAGCTATGGCCGACAGTGGCCCACAGTTCATTGCCAACTTCATTGCCAAAAATAGATGATCATTGGAATTTTGAGGTATATTTTTCACAAGAGATCAACCATGATCATTCCACTTTGCTGATTCGCCACCCATGAGGCCACCCAAGAAAGGTGGCAGGGGCTGGAAACCAATTTTTCATTTTCATCCAGCAAGCCTAGCTGGTCTCTTGATAGGTGGGTCTTCTTCGTAATCCCCATCTTTACTAAATTTGCGCCTGTTTTCTGATTTAGCCATCGCCCACATATAATTACTTTACTTCGTGTGATCCCCACCATGACATTTATACATTTTGTTACTGGCAAATCTTCTGGCATTCTATCTGACATATTTTCTGGCATTCTATCTGGCATATCTTCTGGCATTCTACCTGGCATATCTTCTGGCAGATGTTCTGGCATATCTTCTGGCAGATGTTCTGGCATATCTTCTGGCATATCTTCTGGCATATGTTCTGGCATATCTTCTGGCATTCTATCTGGCATTCTATCTGGCATTCTATCTGGCATATATTCTGACATATCTTCTGGCATATCTATCTGGCATATTTTCTGGCATATTTTCTGGCATTCTACCTGGCAAATCTTCTGGCACTCTATCTGACATTTTATCTTCCTACATGAGGTCCGGCAGGGAACACTTGGCGTGGATACTCGCGGTTGAGGTCCGGCAGAGAACACTGGGCGTGGATGGTCGTGGTTGAGGTCCGGCAGGGAACACTGGGCGTGGATGGTCGTGGTTGAGGTCCGACAGCGAACACTGTGGATCGCGAGTCGCAGTTGACCAGGAGGACGAGGAGGACCAGGCAACTTAGATAAAATCTAACAACCCTCACCTGGCAGGTGGGGAAAAAGAGAGTAGAATTAAAAACATCTATTTATTATGATTTGTTACATTCCAAATCCAACATTTCGAAGCCGATTTATTTGGCTGTTGTAAGTGTTTCAGAATTTCAATGTGTTGTGGTTCAGATTGTCTCTTCGTAAATGTCACGCTGCCGCAGCTGGTCCTCGCGCTGCTGTTTGGCACGATGGGAATCCACGGATTTTTAAACTGTTCCTCAGGAAACTAGCACCTAGAGATGGTCAATTATTTTTTTTCTTACTTGTGCTTAGTAATTAGAGAATTTTCGGGAATGATCCACAATAACTATCAATAATAATCCCAG